TAATAAAATGATTAAAATAAAAATCAACTCTATATTATGAAATTTAAAAAACTAAAATGGAAAAACTTTTAATACTAACATTTTAATACTTACGAAAATCAGACAGTAAGGGTCTTTTGAAACTAAATAGAGCATGGTGGGATCTTGGCTACATCTCCTTCTTCAAAGAGCATGTGATAGCTGGGACAGGGTTCACAGTTGCCCCATTTACTTATGGAAATAAAATATGGTCATTAGGAAACATCCATTCTCTTTAGAAACATATTCATCACAACATCATCATAGTGAAGAAAGTATTTGCATAAGCTCTTTGGTTAATTAGGGACTAGAGGTTTTCAATTCTTTCACTTTTTTTTTAATTTGGGGATTTCATGAAAAGTAAGATACTGCTGGTCAGACTTGTTAGGATTTTAAAATTCAAAATAAGATCTTTTCTTTCCTATAGTCAATATCCCTAATAGGTCAAATGGAAGAAATGAGTTTAAAGATAAATATTTTCATAATCTTCACTAAGTTAATTACCAAGTTGCTGCAGGATGTGGTAAAAAGTTACTGTCTCATAAGAGATGATAGTTATGGTCATCAGGAAGTAGAAAGAACTGAAAATAAAATAAAATCATTAAAAACACATGCATAATACTTCTAGCAGCTTTGTTCTAACAGCCCAAATTGCTGCTTCGCTTGCTATAGCCAAAAGCTGAAAGCAATTCAAATGACCATCAAGAGGTGAGTGGATAAATAAATCACTAGATTTCTGTACAGTGAATGTCTGTACATATCTGTGCAGAGCTCAGCAATGAAAATGGGGAAAGAACTATTCACTCACATAATAAAACAGATTAATCTCAGATCAATTCTGTGTTCAAAAAAAGGCTGGCCCCAAAAAGTGACCACATATTGTGGGATTGGCTTATACAAAATTCTAAAGTGCAAACTAAACTACAGTGACAGAAAGCAAATCAGTAGTTGCCAGCGGAAGGGCAGGCTGGAAAGACAGCGAGGGATGAAAAAATGCTTGCAGAAAATTTTAGGTATGGAAGAAACATTTGCTATATTAATTGTGGTGATGACTTCACAGATGTACACAAGTGTAGATATTTTTAAACCATAACAATTCAAATATGAGCAGTTTGCTCTTGTTGTGAGGGGCCTTAAAGGCAGTTCTAATGCAGTCACCTGAAAGAAATGCTAGCTAGTACTACGCCAGCCTCACAATCACTATGTTTGAGACCATCTCATTGAGGATCATCCTGGTTGTTGCTGACTCTATTTTACCAAGCATGATGCCCTTCTCCAGAGACTGTTCCCTTGCTGATAACATGTCCAAAACACAAGAGATGAAGTCTTGCTATTCTCACTTTTAAAGAGCCTTCTGTCTGGACTTCTTCAAAGACAGTTTGGATTGTTCTTCTGGAAATCTTTAGCATATACAAGATTCTTTGCCAACACCATAATTCAAATAGATTAATTCTTCCTCATCTTCTACTGGGCCGTAAACTATTGCATACGGCTCTTCTAGTCATTGTCTTTGTAACTCCCACCAAATGACTTTCTTGATGGGTCTGAATAAGAGAAGGTAGGGGAAGATGCTGATCGGATTATATGATTTAGGAGTGAGTGATTGTTACCAGAGCTCATTGTGCTGGCCATCCTGCTGGGTAATGAGCCATCTCAAAAGCAGAGAGAGAGCTCTCACTATCAGCAAAAGCAGTAGCAGAAGTGTAGTGCATCCTTTGGAATCTGAAGTCCCTGCACATTGAACCTCCTGGATCCAGGAGACAGCTGTAACACCAGAGAACAGAGAAGTGGCAGACCAAAAGTCAAAGAGTGAGACAGAATGGTGGGCTTCCTAGCCCATGGAGCAAGTAAAACCGATTGCCTTCAGGCAGGAGTGGGGTGCCTGGTGGCATGGAGTGGGGTGCCTGGTGGCATGTGAAGCCAGGTAACTCCAGGCACTAAATTAAGGTTTGCTGACACATGGAGTCAGACCTGAGTGCCTTTGGACTGAAGCATATGATGGAGTGGCATGCCCTTTGGACATTTATTGGCAGCCCTAAAAAAGCTTTGTGACACTGCCTGAGCTGAACCAGAGATCAAGGGGCCACGTGGCTTAGAAGCTAAGGACAAAAAAGAGGTCTGCAAGCACGGCTGAGAAGAGACTATTGAAGAATTACACCGTGAGCATTTGTAACCTCTTTAGTTCCTTAATAAGCCCCACAATCATGAATATTGGCTATGAGCTCTGTGTGACTACTGCAATGAACTCCAGAACACAGATGAAAAGTAGAGAGTGCTGTGAGGTGGAAGTTGATGTTAGAATTGGAAAGAAGATTGCAAGGTGGAGGCGTGTCTGACCCCTGCCTCCAGGGGCTTTGGGCTGCTGCTGATGACAATTCTCTTCCTTTCCCTTACGTAGCCAGAGGAGGTCAGGTGCTGCCACTTCACACGTTTTACATCTTCCTTATTCACTGTGCCGCTTTCTCCACAGACAGGCGAATGAAATACCATGGCAGGTGCACCTTAGCTCTCCAAGTGACAGCTTGGCATTTTAACACTTCTTTTGCAGCAGATTTGCCCAATACATCTTTTGATTTCTTAACTTCCATGAGTGTTTTCTTTTGCTTCTGTGTTGAAATGTAATACACACTGAAGGTTGAAATTTTTGCTCTGCATCAGTAAACGCTTCAAGTTATTCACTTTCAGCAAGCCATATTGTGTCATATCCATATATCAGAGGGTTAACGATAGCCTTCCTCCAATCTTGACGCTGCATCATATAGCCCAGTTCCTCATATTATTTGCTTAGCATACAGATGAAATAGCCTGAAAGGATACAGCCCTGACACACAGCTTTCCTGATTTTAAAACCCTTGTTCTGATCAAATGCCTGCCTATTAGACAGTGCACAGGTCCCCGGGAGCACAAGTAAGTATTCTGGAACCCTTTCTTCACAAGATGAGCCATAATGTGTTATGGTGCACACAGTTGAATGTCTGGTGTCATCAATAAAACACGGTACAGAACTTTCTAGTATTCTCTTTCAGCCAAGATTCATCTGAGATCAGCAATGATATCCCTCATTCCATGTCCCCTTCTGAATCCAGTTTGGATTTCTGGCCATTTCATGTTGATGTCCTG